TACTTAAGCATACCTTAAGGGCATCCTTTAGCCTAGTCTTAAGTCTTTCTGTTGTGTCTCTCAATAAAGGCCTATACGTGTCATTGTAATTTAAATGAACTAGCATTTTTTCTGCATGACTTGACTTATCCATGACTACCACTGCTCCACCTTTGTCGGATTTTGTTATGATTATATTACTATCACACAGATATCTACAATTCTACTAAGATGACAATCTTTCTTATGCGGTATTATATGGTCACCTCCAGTTCATTACTATTCCTTGCCTCTTTAGGCAATCTATCAGATAAGCTAATTAATTTAACAAGTATTTCCAGAGAATGGTACTACACTATCTTCCTGACTTGTATCAGATAAATTGATTACCCTATCCTTTCCCACTTTGTTACAACCATGGTTAATAAGATTTATCTTAGGCGCAAAGTTTCTCGACTTTATTCTGATTCCTAAATTTCGGAGCTTTTTATCATGTATCCGACGGGTAGTTCTGCCAGTTGCCTCTCCTAACCCGTCAGCCATGTCTTGTAACTTAATGAAATCCACATCTTTCAGTAGTTCAGAGGGATTGCCTAATCTTAGTTTGGGTTCTAATCAGTTCGTGGAGTTGGTTAATGCTTTCCTTGAGTCTAGTTTTGACTAAACCACACCCAGCTCTGCTGATGTCCATCATATGATGGACGAAAGCTCAGCACGTTCTCACGTGAAACGAGGGAGGATGTCTCGTAGACTCCGTCAACATGAATATCGTATAAAAACCAAACAGCTGCAGTACAACGAGATTCATCCATCCTCATCTGGTGAGATCGACCAACGAATCTCTTCTTAATGCATTTTCATACGAAATGAAGGTCCCCCTAGCTCAGGAGACTCATCGAAACCAAGTTTTTCTTCGTATCTACACTGTGATATTTACGTTTACCAGCGAAACAGCTATTGGACAAACCGTTTTTTTAACCCACTGGTTGACAATTACCTATTACTAAGCCCATGGGCTCCTGATATGGACTCACAGAAATGAGGCTGAATAAGATAATGTTTATTACATAAGCTTAGACGCCTGGGCGTACTTTTTTAATTCACAACGCGCAATTAACTCTCGATCCTTTTCAGCAATCGATATCAAGTCAACTAACGCGTAATAATGTCTGCTCTTAGGCTATTGGCTGAAAGCACTGGCCAATAAACTTGCTCTTAACATAAGTCTACTCGAGCAAGCTCTCTTTCACGCACATTTATTTGCCTAATTCATTTTCTCGTTCACTTTTCACCAGAATGGCGATTGCCGTTCTTGTTGTCTTCTCTCTTCACCTTCTTTCAATAATTGCCCTTCAGCATAGCCGGCCCCCTCTTCTGTTAATCAGCTTGGATGGATTCCGCCACGACTACATCGAACTGGCCAAGGCTCATCTCGGCCATGACAGCCTACCTAATTTCGATTATTTAATTAAGACGGGCGTTAGAGCAAAGAACTCATTGAATGTCTACCCAACGAGCACGATGCCAAACCACCAGACTCTGGTAACTGGCCTCTATTCCGAATCACATGGTGTGGTTGGAAATGTTGTTCGAGACACCGAGCTTCCGCATGATCTGGACATGGATAGCCAAACCAGCCTGAACAACGATCTCTGGCTTGAAAATTGGCCGGAGCCGCTTTGGGTTACACTCCAGAATTCTGGTGGAAGGGCAGGATCAGTTCTATGGCCCCTGACCGATAAACAGGTGAATCTTTCATATTAATAATATTTTTTTCTAAATCCAATTTATTGAGTCAAATTTTCAGGTTTATCAGTATTAGTACTGGTATTTTCGAAACTCCACTTATATGAGATAATTAATATTCATACTGCATGTATAATCCTGAGTCAGCAATTAATTTTTCACACAAAATTTACGACTTTGGTGCTAAAGCAATGTTATCCAGATGTGTTCACTCTATTCCGTTTAAGGTGATAAAGGACTGGTAGTTGAATTTTCCTACTATGATATGAGAAGAGCTGACGTTTTCACATAGCCCTGCTTTCCCAAAAGGTGTTATCATCCAGGGTGGACTGCAGTTTAGACATAGTATAGGTCTTATTAACACCCCCATCGGAAGTCGAACCATGAAAGTGAAGCGTTTATCTCAACACTTTAACCACAACGCCACATTGGCAAGAGTGTAATTGGGTCACAGGGCACATGTAAATTTCAAGAAAGTTCAGGCATCTTCCATATCACATTCTGTGTTGGGATTGTCGATGAAACAAACTAGAGCAATCGACTACATTACTTTTTTCGCTATTTAGTAGGTTTTCGAGACTAGCAGTAAATAAGTTATATGAGATGTATTCAGGTTAACGTGTCGAGCTTACACGCTGGATTGTCATCGTTCGACTTTCGCTGGGGTTGTTGATAAGACATAGGCGTGGTCGAAACTGAAGTTCATCCTAGATGAGAGTACCTTTTAGGAAATCAAGGCTATGCGAAATTCAATGGAAACGTCACCTCTACTCATATCATTGTGGGATAATTTAGCTACCAGTCCTTCATCACCAACGAAATCGAGTGAATGCATCTCATGTATCTGATTTACTGGTAGTCCCAAAGACCTACTCAATAACGAAAAAACAATACTAGCAAGCATGCAAACTCATATAATGTGTCATGACTTTCCATACTTTACGAAATAGTTCAAAAATATACTAAACATTTTATCTCGATTTAGCATATTTTAACTTTATTTAATCAAGTATGGATTCTTGCTCTGATTATGTATGTCACACCACAGCATAAAGCATAGGTTTATCGACGTCGCCAGTCAGTGAGCCAAGGATTTGTTCGTTTAATACGGCATACCTCACTACGCGTCAATTCTTCTTCGGTTTCCGGTGAGGCCACATCACGAATTCGTTCCAACCAATTTTTCCTTCGAAATGGACATTCATCTCAGAATATATCACTAAGGGAGTCTTCGAAACCCAATTTTTTCTTGTATTTTCGAAGCGCATAAGTTTCTTTAAAAGGGCTAATTGCCAGTCGGATAAGTCGCTTAGATCAAGCCTTATCAGACACATCACAGTAGG